CGTCGCCAGACCTCCCGGACAGGCACAGTTTGCTTAGTCGTAAGATTCAGATTTTTGATATGGACATGGATGCCATTGTTTCTGCTCTGCATGTGATGTATGCTGATGACTCTAGTGTGCTTCCCGCCTATTACTCATTGTTGCCTAGAGTAGGTGTGCCTAGCTTAGCCTCCCCTGCTGCGTCAGGCGTAGGGTCCCCTGCTTTGAGTAGTTTTGGTGCTTCCGCCGTCATTCCGTCGCCAGACGCCTCTGCTTCGCTTTCCTTCACCTTGGACTCTGGCGCTTCTCGGTGTTTCTTCCGCGACTCCACCACCCTGACGCCGCTTCCTGTCCCAGCTGCCGTTTCTCTTGCTGACCCCTCCGGCGGTCCGGTAGTCGCCCGCAGTTCCACCACTCTTCCCTGTCCGGCGGTTCCTTCGGGCACTCTCACAGGTCTGCATATCCCCTCGTTCTCCAGGAACCTAGTTGGTGTCGGCTGCCTCCAGGACCTTGGCGTCACCACTATGTTCCCTGGTCACGAGCGGTATGCTGTCTGTACTGAGGCTGCCACTGGTGCCCCCCTGTCCACGTTCCCCCGGGACACGGTGTCCGGTCTGTTCACTCTGGACACCGTGACCCCCCTGGCTGGAGCGCTCACCCAGGTTGCTGCCGCCTGCTCCTGTCGGTCCCTCACTCACCCGACCCTCCTTTGGCACCACCGCCTAGGTCACCCTGCGCTCCCGCGTCTGCGTCACATGTCCCAGCACGGTCTTGTCCTTGGTCTCCCAGGTTACCTCCCCGCGTTTCCCCCCTCCCCAGCCCCACCTTGCACGCCTTGTGTCGAGGGTCGGCTTCGCCGTGCCCCTCACTCCTCCTTGTTTCCCCCTACCGCCGCGCTGCTGCAGACCCTGCACCTGGACGTCTGGGGCCCCGCCCCCGTCCCTGGGCCGCGTCGAGAGCGCTACTTCTTTGTGCTTGTCGATGACTTCACTCGTTACACCACAGTCTTTCCCCTGGAGCGCAAGGCCGACGTGCCTGGAGCTCTCATCCCCTGGCTTGTCTCTGCGCGTGTCCACCGCGGTCTCCCTGTCTTGCGTCTTCACTCAGACCGTGGTGGCGAGTTTGCCTCAGGTGTCCTTGGTCGCTTTTGTCGTGCGGAGGGCATCACCCAGACGTTCACCCTACCGGACTCCCCACAGCAGAATGGGGTCGCTGAGCGACGCATCGGTTTGGTCATGGAGGTGGCTCGCACCTCCATGATCCATGCCGGTGCACCCCATTTTCTGTGGCCGTTCGCTGTGCGCTACGCTTCTCACCAGCTTAACTTGTGGCCGCACCCTCACCAGCCGCAGGTTTCGCCGACCCGTCTTTGGACTGGGTCTCCTGGTGACGCGTCTGCATTCCACGTCTGGGGCTGCCTTGCTCATGTCCGTGCCTCCGGCACGGACAAGCTCACTGCCCGCACCCTTCCCTGCGTCTTCCTCGGTTTTCCCCTTGACGCGTCCGACTGGCACTTTTACCACCCGCCGTCTCACCGCTTCTTTCACTCTCGTGACGTCACCTTTGACGAGTCTGTCTCCTACTACCGTCGCTTCCCCCACTATGGTCCCCCGGTTACCCCCCCCCTGTTCCTGGTCACTCCTTCCCCGGTCGTCCCTGTCCCTCCTCCTCCTCCTCCCCGTCCCGCCCCCTCTGGTGTGTCCCACGTCACCCCGCTTCCGTCGGTGGACCCGGTCGAGGAGTCTTCTGACTCTGGTGGCCCTCCTGTTCAGTCCTCGCTGGCCGCCCCTCCCCTGGCGTCCTCTCCCCAGTCCCCCCCTCCACCACCGCTGCCGCCGCTGCAGCCGTCGTTGTCGCGGCCGCCGCCGCCGCCGCCGTCGCAGCACCCGTTCGCTGACTCTGGGGGTGCTCGTCCCGGTAGCCCTAGGGGTGGTCCCTCTGGGGGTGCTGGTGTGGAGAGTGCCGGTGGTAGCCGAGGAGCAGCTTGCGGTCCAGGTGTCGCCGTTGTGCCGCCTCAGCAGCAGTCCCCGCCGGTGTCAGCCCTTCGCCTGCTCGGCCTTCCGTCCCCCGACCCTGCGTCGGTTCCTCCCCGACCGTCTCCTCCTCTTCCTGTCTACGGCCCTGTCTTCCCTCCACCGGACTCGTCCCCTGCCCGTCTCCCCCCTCGTTCCCCTCCTGTGTCCCCTCCTTTGTCTCCTGACCCGACTCCTCCGTCGCACGTCTGGTCTCACCGTCCCTCCCGTGCTCGTCCTGCCTCGCCTGTCTTGCGCTCCCACCCTATGTTGCTTCGTTCCCACGCGTCTCGTCCTCCCCTTCTGCCGTCGCCTCCTCCGTCCTCCCTTGTTGTTGCACCCCCCCCGCTGTCTGACTACCTTCGTGCCGCTCGTCCCCTTGTTCCTCGGGTCCTTGCCTCTCTCGTTACCGACCCGTCTGTTCCGGCCTCGTGCCTTGACGCTCTTGTCGCTGCTATCGCTGACTTCGCCTCTACCCGCCGCCTTGACTACGCCTCCGCTCTGGTCTCTGACCCTGCCTGTCCTCCGTCTGTCGGGGGTGCTCCTGCCCTTGGCAGTGACGTCCTGGAGGACCGCCAGTTCGAGCTTGCTTTCCTGTCCGAGGCTGCTCCCCATCTCTGTTCCATGCTGCTAGTCCCTGAGGGTGACCCAGACGCTTTCGACATCCTGACCCCTCGCACTTACGCCGAGGCGATTTCGGGACCCTGGGCCTCGCAGTGGATAGCTGCCATGGAGCAAGAGATGGCATCTTGGAGATCCACCGGCACCTTCGTCGACGCAGTTCCCCCGCCTGGGGTGAACGTAGTCGATGGCAGCTGGCTCTTCAAGGTGAAGCGCCCTCCTGGAGAGCCGCCTGTGTTCAAGGCGCGCTATGTGGCTAGAGGCTTCAGTCAGCGTGAGGGGGTGGACTTCTTCCAGACCTTCGCTCCGACCCCGAAGATGACTACTCTTCGGGTTCTGTTACACCTAGCTGCTCAGCGTGACTACGAGCTCCACTCCCTCGACTTCTCCACTGCCTTCCTTCAGGGCAGCCTGCACGAGCAGGTCTACTTGCGTCGTCCTCAGGTCTTTACTGGCACCTTCCCTCCTGGGACCCAGTGGCTCCTGCGGCGCCCCGTCTACGGCCTGCGCCAGGCTCCCCGTGAGTGGCACGACACTCTCCGTGCTACGCTTGCTGCCCTGCAGTTCTTTCCGTCTTCCGCAGACCCTTCACTCTTCGTTCGTGCTGGCCAGACTCCGTTCTACATCCTTGTTTACGTCGACGACCTGGTCTTTGCCACAGCAGACAGGGACGCACTGGCCTCCGTGAAGGCAGAGTTGCTGAAGAGACACACGTGCACTGACCTTGGAGAACTGCGCCGTTACCTTGGCTTGCAGATCTCCAGGGACAGAGCTGCGCGCACCATCACCCTGACTCAGTCACACTTGGTGAGCCAGGTCCTTCAGAGGTTCAGCCTTCAGTTCTCCTCTGCACAGCCCACCCCTCTGCCTGTAGACCACAGACTCTCCGCTCCAGTGTCTGAGGAGTCAGTTGAGCCCAGCGGCCCCTACGCAGAGCTGGTGGGTTGCCTCATGTACCTGATGACTTGCACTCGCCCAGATCTCGCATACCCTCTCAGCATCCTGGCTCGCTTTGTGGCCACAGGCAGACACCGACCGCAGCACTGGTCTGCCGCTTAGAGGGTTCTGCGTTATCTTGCTAGTACATCGGGCATGGGGTTAGTGCTAGGAGGACGCAGCCCAGTGGTCCTTACTGGACACACAGACGCTTCGTGGGCAGACGACGCTGAGACACTCAGGTCTACCCAGGGCTACTGCTTCAGCCTTGGCTCAGGTGCCGTCTCGTGGAGAGCTACCCGCTCCTCGTCTGTTGCGCAGTCCAGCTGTGAGGCTGAGATCTACGCCGGTGCCATGGCGGCACAGGAGCTCCGCTGGCTGACCTTCTTGCTCACTGACTTAGGTGAGCGGCCTAGCTCTGCCCCGGTCCTGTTCGCTGACAACAGGGCCATGATCCTCGTGTGTCAGGAGCCTCGACTCGAGGGCAGAGCAAAGCACATTCAGCTGCGGTACTTCCTCCTGCGTGAGCTACAGTAGCGACGTCAGGCTCGCGTAGTACACTTGGCCTCAGGTGCCAACACGGCTGATATCTTTACGAAGGCGCTTGCGCCTAAAGATCATCAGCGGCACTGTGTACAGCTTGGTCTAGTTCCTGTAGCCTCTCACTTGCTAGGACCTTGACTTTGTACTGTCCTTTATACGTATACTCGGACTGGACTTGTGTCCTCTTCCAGTGGCTGGACTAGTAGTGTCGCCCTGCTCTTGTTCTTGCCTTGTCTGTACTCCTTCTGACTGGTCTCTCAGACCCTTGTCTCAGAGGTTGGACTAGTAGTGCCGCCCTGAGCTGCTTGTTTAGGACATTCCCCTATGCAGTCTAGGGGGTGTGTCAAACATGTGTATTTGTCATGTTTGTATAGACTGTATAGGGTCGCCTCTTAGAGGGTACAACACTTAGGTATATCTGTGTGTACTCTCACTCTATCATTATTCACTTCTCTAATTTGATACTGATACCAAGGAAAGTAGGGCATGGAAAAGTGACTAGAGAAAATGTTGATAGTACAAGAGTGGGTGTTGTGCCCTCTAAGAACTTATCTAGCTATACTATAACAAATATAGCTTATCTAACATATAAATGCATGTTTGTTGACAAGATACACGTATCAGAGATTTTTTTATAGGCAATTCGTTAAATGAGTGCTGTAGGAATAGGCATGCTTATACAAAAGTTCATAACACTATTGAATTAAAAATATAGATGAATATAGATTTTCATAAGTTTAGATGCCGACAATGTACCAGCATATTTGGTGTACAAATTTACATGGAGAAAAGAGTTGTTATGATGAAGTCCTCTGCAGACGAAATCGGGAATCCCAGCCTCGTCATTGAAGGGGAGAAGTAAAATGGTACAAATTCAGGTGTCGTTGAACAGCTCCGAACTAGAATTTGCACTACTTGCAGAGATGGCAGCAGTGAAGGCCATGCTTCTTCCCCTGACTCTCTCACGTGAGCTCTTTGTGTTGCACGCACTAACCCTAATCTGGCGGTTCGAATCTGTTCTAACCTCGCATTGCTCCTGGCAGTCTTGTTTGTCAGTGCGCAAGGAACGGAAGATGGAATTCCATGTCGTCGCTTCCCCCTCAATGTGATGCCTTTCACTTCTGCTACTTATGTTCGACATCGAAGGCCTTCCTTAACGCTGCTCAATGGTTTTCAGGGATGCGACTTTTACTTCAATGGAAGCCTCAGCACTATTCCCAGCTTCAACATCGGAGCTGTTTCAGGGAACATGATTTTGTCGCATGCTAAAATATTTCACAGGTATGGCTTTTGCTGTGTCTTGGAAGGACTCCCACAAAGGCTTTATGAGTGATCATTTTCGACCAGAAACGGCGAGAGGCTCGTCACAGCATCTTCGGACCACTGCGAGTTTTTCAACGACACGGTACGTGTTACTCATCCTCGTATCGTATCTCGCTTTTGTTACTTCGAAGATTCTAACACTAATTGCATCAGGAATCTTGCGGGACGACGTTTTTCTTTATGAGCGAGATTGACGACTGGAATAAAGCTGATGTCGTCGGAGCTCATCCAATCCAGCCAGAGATTTTTGAGGTGCGCATACTATAGTAGAGATGCAAAAGATGGAAACACGATTCGACAGTGACTACATCATTGTCGTACAGGATTTCATGGGGAGATGCGTGATACTTCGTGTCAGCAACTTCTATCTGAGCATGAGTGGCTGGATAAACAATGGCGACAGCCGAAAGGGGTTTCCACAGGTCAGCCTGAGTGATGTTGATGACGCACCTAGTTCACTGTACATCAGGCTTCTCATTCTTCAATCTTGCAGAGCCGAAGATGCCTCATTTTCAAGACGACCAACACCACAGTGTCGACGGAGGTCTGACTAACGTGAACGAAGTCCTGCAATGTGAAGGGATATTTCAGCTCGGAGTAGGGGTCGGGGGAGTCCAGAAATGCATCTACCTGTCGGAAATAAAGTGTACCTTCACGAGCATTCTACATTCTCTTTGAAAGCAGGCTGAACTGTTAAAACCACAGGCTAGAATAGCAAAGGGGGGGGGTGCACTTGAAAATTGGGTTCTTTTTGCAGTCAGAGAAAAGGGACCTACTTCCACTGGAATATATTCCCAGACTTGAAAAAACAAATGTTGCTAACTTGCAGCCCACACTGATTCGTTGACGATGCATAACAGATCGTACCCCAAGAAAGGAACACGATGCGACGAGTCCGAGGGTCGCATGGCTAAACCAAAAAGAAAGGCGTGCAACTGTCAAACATATATTGTATGTTTTTGTAGAATATATAGGGTTGTGCCTTAGAGAGTACAACCCATGTCAAAAAAAAATTGTACGAATTGTAAAAAAATTGTCAAAAAATTGTATAAAAAAATTACAGATTGTGATTTGACTAGAAGAGAAGTTTGCTGTGAAGGAGACGAACTCCTGACACAAGACTAGCTTAGCTAGGAATGTTAACGTATGTTGGGCTGAGAAAAGCCCTTAGGATCTTTTGCAGAGACTAAGTCCCAGCTGTAGAGACTTGAGACTTGGAGTAGTGCAGCGGAAGTTGAGGCAGTTGAACCCTTGTACTAGTATGTGAGAACAAGTGATTAATTAAAGAAACAAGCATACAGCAATATATAGAAGATAAGGAAGCAGTTGTAGAATACAGTTACAGGAACGGTTTATCGAGTCGCACAGCGACTCGATTGCCGCTTCGGTTACCATCCGTGATGTTGTAACGGTCAGTCGCAACCTCCAGTTGCGACCTTTCGAGTCCTTTCGCATTCTTTGTCCGCCCCCTCGTGTAACCTCCGTTGACTCGCGTGCTCCCCTGTAATCTTCCTCGAGTACAGTGTTACACTTCAGAAACGCTTAAGTCCTTGAGATATTTCCAACACTCCCCTTCGTTTCTGGAGTGCTGGAGTGTTCAGATCCGGTGACGTTTGTTTGCCCGGTTAGGAGCATGCAGTAGTCGAATTTTGCTTTCGCCAATTTCTTCGTCAGATAATCTGCGGCCATTTCTGTCGTCGGGCAGTAACTGAGTTGAAGTCTCCCCTTCGCGATTTCATCCTTGACGAAGAAGTACCGCAGGGCGATGTGCTTGGTTCGGTTGGCGAAGCCGTCCTTGTTCGCGATTTTTATCGCAGATTGGTTGTCGCAGAGGAGTGAGAAGGTGGGCAGGGTCGCGATCTTCGCTTCTTCGAGTAACTCTCGTAGGTAGAGTCCTTCCTTGGTCGCAGTACAAAGGGCGATATACTCTGCTTCAGCCGAGGATAGTGCGATTAACTCCTGCTTGCTCGACTGCCAGGAGATAGTTCCGATAGGTTCTAGTCGGTAGATGTAGCCCGTCCTAGACCGTCGATTTTCGCTGTCTCCCGCGTGGTCGGCGTCGACGTATCCGAGTAGTCGTACGGACGGTGTTGTTGCCTTGCTGTAGGTGAGCCCGATCGTCGGCGTGGAGACGAAGTAGAGTAGCGCTCGATTGAGTTCTTCGAGATCTTCCTGTTGCGGCTGCTTCAGATGTGTCGCCAGCTGGCTCGCACTATAGGATAGGTCGGGTCGGCAGGTTACTGTTGCGAATAGTAGACAGCCGAGCTTCTGTTGATACTCCTGGATTTGTTTCGCGGGGAGTTTTGTGGAGGCGCTACTGTTGTTCCCGTAGCGGTAGGGAGTTGGGACCGCAGTCGGTGTTAGACCGAATTTCTTCGCGACGGTGCTTGAGTACTTTCCAGCGTGTAGGTAGAACGCCGTGTCGTCTTCGACGACGTTCAGTCCTAGGTACTGCGTCACCTCGTCGGACACCGTGAGCGTCAGGTCCCTTTTCAGCTCCCCTTCGAACCAGGTGACGATGTCGGTGGTAGAACCGATGTAGAGCAGGTCGTCGACGTAGACGATGAGCAGAATGTAATCTCTTCCCTTCTGTAGTCGGTACATGCCTTGGTCATGTGGTAGCTGTAGGAATCCGATTTTTACGAGCCGGCCGTGAAGGTGCTGCTGCCAGAGCCGTGGGGCTTGCTTGATCCCGTAAAGGGATTTTTCCAGCTGGCATACTTTTGAAGGGTCGTCGATGAATCCGTGGGGTTGTTCGACGAAGATTTCGGCGTCCACAGGTGCGTACAAGAAGGCGTTTGCAACGTCGATTTGCCGTAGTGGTAGTTTCTTCGTGGCCGCGATGGCGAGTAGGATGCGCAGAGAGGTGTGACGGGAGACTGGAGCGAAGGTTTCTGTGTAGTCGGTTCCGTATCGTTGATCGAAGCCTCGTACGACCCATCGAGCTTTGAATCGTTCGATGGAGCCGTCTGAGTTGGTCTTGATGCGGTACACCCATTTCCCCGAGAGAATGTTCTTCCCGTTGATGCTCGTTGCAGGTACCAGTTTCCATGTTTCTCGGTCTTGCAGAGCTTTTAACTCTTTTTCCATCGCTTCCTTCCATTGTGCCTTATGTTCCCCCCCCAGAGCCTGCGACAGGGTCGACGGCTCGCGCGGAGAAGGCGGCGGCGGGTGCTGGACGGAGACCCATAGTCCTAGGATCTGCAGTCCCGTGGCTGTGTGTCGAGGGGAGTTTTCATTCTCGGGATAAGCTGCTTCATCACCGTCTTCAGGATCGGGTAAGAAGTTTGGCCCGATGCGTTCGGAAATATTCGAGTCGACGGGGTGTGGTGTAGCGTAGCCTTGGTCAGCGAAGTGGTAAAAGGTGTCGAGGTTGTTGCTATCGAGAGGATTATCTTCATCGAGTGGAACAGGTACGGAGCAGTAGGGGAGTGGTCCGGCAGCCTCCGAGGCTCCAGGGACGTCTTCTTCTGCTGCGTCAGCCTCGGCAGCATGGTCAGCGAAGGAGCGAAGGCCCGCGAAGCCGTCGGTGGGGTCGTCTGAGTTGGCAATGTTGTCCAGGTAATGCTGCAGCGTCAGTCGCTCGTAGAAGATAACATCACGTGATGCCACCGTATTTTTGTCGTGTATGTCGAGAATCTTCCACGCGTGAAAATGTTTGGCGATGCCGAGGTGTAGTCCCCACCGAGCTCGTTGAGTGAAGCGTCCTGCTCGAGCTGTGTGGGGTCTGTATTGTACCATGCAGCCGAAAACTCGAAGTAATTTTGTGCTGCCCCTTTTTCCCGTCCACAGCAGGTGCGGTGATGCGTTGTTGGGGAGCGATGACGAGGACAACAGGTTGTGCAGGTGGACTGCATGTGTCATCGCGTCTGGCCACAGTGTATTGGGCAGCCTCATCCCCAGAAGCAGTTTTCGCATCGTCGTCTGCAAGGTCCGGTTCATGCGTTCTGCTACCCCCTGCTGCTGGTGAGCATAGGGCAGAGACACCAGGCGTCGGATTCCCCTTTCCGCGAGATAGGTCCTGAAGCGTTGTGACTGGTATTCCAGTGCACCGTCTGACTGGAAACTCTTGAGTTTGGTTCCTGACTCTCGTTCGGCGATTGGAAGCCATGTGGTGAAGGCCTCGAAGGCTTGATCGCGCGTTTTGAGATTGAAGTGCCAGACGTATCTGGTTGCGGCGTCGATGAACGTGATGACGTAGTTGAAGTCGGCTTCGGTGTCGTCTCGAGGCATGTTTAGAATATCGCTGTAGACCTTTTCCATCGGAGCGTAAGTGGGTGCGCTTGGATTGTGATGGGCTGGGAAAGGTTGATGAGGAAGATCTGCTTCGGGGCACGTGAAGCATCGTGCTCTTGGTCGGCGAAGTTCTTGGCCGCTCGTCGTTAGAAGGGCGTTACGTTCTAACACCTCTGCTTGTATTGTTTGTAGTATCGTGCTGTTTGCAGGATGTCCGAGACGTTGGTGCCAGATGTCGTCGGGAGCGCGGTGACCGGGCGAGCGGTGGTAGATGTCGGCGTTGGAGAAGAACGCGACGACCGAGGCGGGACTTCGACAAGCTTCTCGTGTGGCGGGCATAAGTTGGTCTGCTTCCGTTGGCGGTCCTCGTGTTGATGGTGGTGGTACTCGGCTGGGTCCTGCTGCCGATACTGCAGGTGATGGTTTTGTTGGGACGCTTGCTGGTACTTGTCTTTCTTGTCTGATAACTGCTAATGCCCGTGTTCTCTCTGCTGCAGGTATGGTGTTGGAGTGCCAGAAGCCGTCACTGTCGAAGTCGGGATCAAGATCTGGTGGGTGAGTCCAGGCGGCGAACGATACGATGCCATCGCTGTCGGCAGTTCCGCGGTCGGGGACGAAGTCCAACACGAAGACACCGGACTTCAGGAGGGCACGACCGATGAAGAGACCGCCCTTCCCGTGGTAAAGTCGGAACTCGTTGGAGAAGGAGTCGCACTCCAGGTGAATCCCCTTAGCCATTAGTTGGCTTACGCTTAGTAGGTTGTATCCCAGATTGTCGACGATGAGGACTTTGTTGAGCTGAAGAATAACGTTTGTCTCCATTGATTGTAACTGAACCACGCCTTGCCTGTTTGTTTTCAGGTTTTCGTTGTTGGCGACGGTGATGACGACGTCGCGGTTGAGGCGTCGCTCGTGTTGTACGAAGCGTCCGGAGGAGCACATGTGCTGACCGCAGCAACTGTCCAAGAACCAGGTGTTCCGCCCGGTGGGTTCGGCGTTAGCGACTGCAGCGTATGTCGGGTTGACCTGAAGTCCTTGCGAGCGCGGCGGCGGGAATTCCTCTTCGTCTGGTGCGTAAGTGGGTGGTGAAGCGGGTGCGCAGTTGTCGATGTGTACCATGCAGTTGATGATGTTGGGTGTTTGTTGTGCAGATGTTGAAGAACGCCTTGGAGGACTTGCTTGAGTGGAAGCGACTTGTGGGTCTGCTGCACGGTAAACGCGAGGGCGGTTGCAGTTGACCTTGGAGTGCCCGGAAGTCTGACAGTTGTGGCAGAACGGCGGCACGATGGTGAGTCCTCGGTTGTCGCGTTGATCTTGCTTGCTGCGTCGGTTGTAGTTGTTGTCATTTCTTCTTTGAGTGTAGAAGACTAACTGCTGTTGCTTCCTTGGTTGTCTTTCCTCGAACAGATCCATCTCCTGTTGTTCAGCGTGAAGCTCGGCGCAGAGGTGCATCTCCGAAATTCTTCCGTGGGCTCGAAGAAGTGATCGTGTGGTTCTCCATTCTGGCCCGAGCCCGGCG